TCAGGACAACTGGAAGCCTCTCAAATCTCAAGGAAAACACATAAAGAAATTTTTTGTACGAGTTACTTCCCATCCTCACACTGGAACTGGAATAGAAAACGGCCTATGAGGGATTAAATTTTGAACGAACACCCATCAGCAGCGCGGTCTCTAAAACTTCGTGTTCTTTGTGTTGGCCTTCGGTCTTTTGTTGGGTTTATATGGGTAGCACTTTCCGAGCGTATTCTTACTGAATGATTCCATCACCGCACTTGATTGCTATTCCCTTTGCACCTGAAACAGAGTAATGAGCAGGGTCACTTGAATCACCTGCTATAGTCATATCTCATGTTAAACTCCCAGATCCAAACGGAGTTACAACAAGATGGTAGCACTGTCGATGGCGTTGCATCCCGTAAAAAAAGTTTTTCGACAGTTGGTCCTCCTTGTTGTTCTCGTCCCAATCGGAAACCTAGAACTGACTGGTTGAGCTCGAAAGTTTAGTAGAATGCGTGGCGCACCTCAGTACGGGTCTGATCGACCCTCGAAACACTATTCTTATCCCTTATTAACATAGCAATTACCCATCTTGGTTGGATATTACACTCCCTAACAGAGTTCACTCCATAGCTCATAGCAGCAGATGTTATCTGAGAGGTAGGGAGCTCTCCATTGCCTTTATATCCGCAGCGGAGAACAAATTGGCGGGTATCAGTGAATGTTTGGACGGCATACATGGAGTGTCATATTCATGAGGTTTCGTATCTCGATCTAAAAATCCCATTGCCCATTAGTAGGCAAAGCTTAGATGTCTATTCGGGAAGAGACCCGCTATGGATTGAAATCCGATCGCACTTATGTGGCTAACACGAATTAACACCGTCTGGCGACGAAATTCTCGTGATAGTGTATGAGACGTGGATTCATTCCATCGCTACCCTAGGGATTCCCTTTCTTCGTCCTTCCTTGCACTGTAAGTTAATAATGTGGGTGAGGTCAAGCTAAAAAACATCCTGGTTCATTTTGGGGGTCGACGAAGCCAGAATCGCCAATAGGTTTAAGTTGGCCGCTAACGGAGCACGGTGCTTCGAGACGTCTAGAAAGTAATAGGAGGACTAGAGACCTGGCTTCGACCAAACTCCTACGCCATGCATTCAACTTTATTTCAAGATAGGTCTTTGGAGATGACCCATGAATCTGAACTGGCTCCGGGAGCTTGACGATACCTCGTTTATTACAATCCTACGATTCCAAGCAAATTCGGTACCCCTCAGTCGGCATAGCATGAATGGACTGCCGCCGTGTCGGAAAAAGCAAGTAACCTCGAAAAATTGGTTTTCATTTGCTTCACCGCCTTAAAATCTTATACCCCTCCCAACTACGTATGCTTTGGCTAAAGGACTTCCTTGTTTGTAAAATCAAGGATTAAGTTCTTTGGACGTTGGCCAATACCCTCTGAGGGATGGGCTCCCGTTTTTATCCTCCCGGTCGAGTCTGGTGCCAATTAAACGACCCCTGATGGATGGAAGGCTTGGTTGGGCGGATATCGATCCAGGATTTGAAGCTATGACCATGCGTGTAAGATAGCTCGCCATTTGCCACTACTTCACCTCCTCTCTATTTGTAAGATTCCTCAAGAATTCCTGATTTCCTCAAGGACCAGAACCAAAAGCTGCCGGAAAGGAATTGCTAGGGAGAAAAGGATATATCAAAGGAGGAATTCCCCTAATAGATGCCTATTCGGTAAGAAATGCCTAGGCTATGATTAGTCAGTTATATTGTTCAATGGAAAATCCATTTGGGAACGGGAATTTGCACTTTTGAGTGTTTCTATATGAGTTATGCTATTGCAATCTCTCTGGACCTCGTGGAATGGCTATTATTATAAAGTCTGAAAAGTTCTGCACTCGGTCATTGACTTTCAGTGCAACTCAAAAGAGAAATTTATGGTTTTTACTGCGTAGACAATTCCGAAACCATTTGTCGGACAACCTTGTGAAATTGCTCTGTTCGGTGTCCAAAAAGGGACGAGTGCCTTTTATGATCGGGGCTTTGGTCGACTGAAGTCTTTAAACTCAGGTCTCGGACCTCAGATGTACCTCCCCACAACCCCTCAGTGATTACCCAGGGTGTTACTGGAGTAGCACGGTCCAAACCTGGGTATATCCGACGCCAAAACATCGTATAGGAATGTGACGTATTATTGGAGTCAGTGTGAATTGCGGTATTTACCTCTACCCATTTGTGTCCAACCAGTCGATGTCCACTAATTGGCCCAGGCAGCAGCTTTGGCTAGCTACATAGCCAGATCTACCCATGTCGCATGTGAGCAACCACAAAGTGTCTCTCGGAAAACTAGGGAGGGGTATCATAGAAAAAGTGCATCCCGTATCCAATTACTGAGTCATACTAGTATACTTCTAGTCGTACTTCAGTTTTCGCTTCACCACTTCGAGTTCTTCGTTACGCTCCACTTCAAGTGGGATAGAAAATTGAAGTGGATGGTGTGTAGAGTCGTTAGGTTCATTTGGCTAAGAGGACTTTCTGGCAAAAGCCAAAAAAAGGACATCAGAAAGTCCATAACACTTGAAATAATTCCGCCTCACCGGCTACCACGAGGGACCAAGCTAAGAGCGATGCTAAAGGGCAGAGTGGTGGAGGGTCCATCGCTCTTCCACCTAGATCTCTATCCAGTAAACTTGGTTTATTCAGACTAGAGATTGGCAGTACTTGGATAGGAGATCTGATTTTTTCAAGCCAAATCACAGTTGGTGCTTTTTCCGATCATAATCCTTTCCTAGAGGCAGTTATTAAAGGAATGGTCCAAAGGAAGAAGCCAAAGGAAGCCCCATGGGAAGGTTGCCCTCAGATTGAAGAATTTCCCAGCACATTCCGGTTGGAGAATACAATGTTGTCTTAGGAGAGAACCTGCTTTTGTTTTTCATTCATTAAGACGCATTTACGGCTTCCATCCTAGTATTTTAGTAGCCAATATTTGGCAAATGCAATTTTTCTCGTAGGGAGGCTCATATAATCGTCGTCATTGTTTTTCCTCCCAAACAGTTTCCTATAAAGAAAGAATACGAGGTTCAGGCGGTCTGGGTAGGCGGTCTGGAAGGAATTCGATCCCACAAGCCAAACAAGGGATGTGTTGGTTCCGGTTCAGAGTCATTCCTGCTTGTGAATCGATGTGAAATAGTAAATTCAACCAATCTCAATGCAAATGCCAACACCTGCCCATGGAGGCTTGGGGATTATTCGGACGGAAGGAAGATGAAAGGTTTCACTTCGATCGATCCCATTTCGGGAAGTACCTACTAATTGCCTATTACTTGATTTCTTATAAAAATTGTTGGGGGATGTCTGAGAGTCTGCTAGGCCTACACAGCGACTCGGACCGACAGAACAGACCAAGTCAGCAATTCTGAAAAAGCGTTCAGAATTCCCCAACTTTAGTTGCTGGATATGTCAACGCTATAGAAATTCGGGTGGATCATGGAAGAAGATTTCTGGCTTCTGTGATTTTCAGAAATTAGCCGTCTGCTAGAATTGATTTGTTAAACCTCCTTGCAAAGTGTCAGTACATCTCGTTGTCAAACTGCTTTGACATCGTCTCATCCAAAGCGTATTCCATCAAAAATTAGTGGCTGTAATAGATGATTAGATGTCGTCTCTTGAGGTATTAGTGGAACACTAGAAAAGACATGATCTTGTGGTGGTGCCAATTAAGCGGCGCCCACCTCGAACGTTCTCCCCAGGGAGATCCATTGCAACGACCTATTCTAAGGATGTAGTCATCAACTAGAAATATCTAGTTGGGAGCAACGAAATGGTTTATTACAGAGAGGGACGTATCTTTTCACTACTTTTCTATGAAGGCTCAGCACGGGGATTGAACTGTAACATTTTCTTTTGAAAGTGGTGTAGTGATAAGTGGCTCACTGTCACATGTGCATGATCCGGGGATCTCGGAAAGACCCTCGCCTGAGAAAATCAAGCACACCATATCTCGAGATCGGTTAATTGGCATCAGACTTCTTAGAGAGGATGAAAAAACCAGCTTCTAAGTCGGCCAGCCACCGCTACTCTTTCACTGCATAGGCCGAAAACACATTCAGCAGGTCACTGCAATTCTGAATATGAGCTAAATGTGGAAGCATTCCAAAAACGGGGTCGATTGGCGTCAAATTTGAAGACAGAGTTGTTAAATGGAACAGTCATCAGCAGAGTAAATGAGAGTACTTTCAAAAAAAAATCATTCCGACAGACGTAAAAATGGTAGCTAAAATTTCGATAGAATTTGGCTAATATCAAATTTCTATGTTTTCTGAGTCCACTAATAGTTGTGAGGGTTTCTTTTGCTAGATTTCATTATTTCATTTTATATTTATATTTATATTTTATCTCATTTTATAATTTCCATAATTAATCAATAGCTGATAAAAAACTAAACTAGTAATAGGTCCTATAGATGGACCTTATAGAATCGATACAAAGCTTTTTGGTTGAGTTCTGCAAATGTTGATAGATGAATAAAGTTAAGAAGTTGCAGAAATCTCACCATTTTCCTTAAACATTTGAAGTTCGGATTTCAAATCAAAAAATACTAAAAAANAAAAAACATCAATAAAATTTCTATTTCGCCATACCACTCCCTCGGTGAAATGGAACTTGTGGAAAAATACCCCTCGGCAAGCTCAGAAAAATGCTCGCCCCAGAATTCGCTGCTAATAATCTTATTAGAGAGCGACTCACTCATCTTTTTTCTGAGAGATTTCTATATCAATAACCAACTACCTAATTTGGTAGCAGTGCTATTTAGAGCTTGATGGTGATGTAGTAGTAAGAAAAAGCGTCCCAATAGAATGGTCATACCCAAAAATCGCTGTAAATGGGTTAAGACAGTTATTCCTAATCACCCTTTGTGGTAACTGTGGCAATTGTAGTGCTAAAACTATCTTAACGATTTCTAGAGTTTCCAGGAAAAATTCGTCTTTCTGTTTTTAGAATTTATTTCATGAATGACTGTTTCAGCGTGTCTAATGTGTCTCGAAGGCTCCGACTGTGAAAAAGAAGCGAGTTGTGAGGAATGTTCTGGGGTCGCATGCACTCGAATCACCTCCTTCAATCTGGAAGACAATAAGGAAGTGGCGCTCACATGTATACCATACGACACTCGGTTAGTTCCCCTTAGGATTTATTCAAATAATGTTACTATGTTTTTACTATAAATAATGAAAAAANAAAAAAGCTACTGGGTTCGACTTATTATCAAGCTGCTATAAACTCTATGAACTGAGACGGAGATGATGTAGCGTCTAGTGGCGCACTATCACCCACGAATGCTCCAAGGTTCGAATCCCGAATCACATCTGCCTGGGCTAACCGTCTTCTACTTCTTCGGGCCGTTTAATGGATATAAGAGTCATGTGAGAGGATAGAAGCATTGGCATGTACGTTGGCTCCTTACAGATATAAGGATATCGACAAAACGTTCAGATAGAAGTTGCAGACGACTTTTTGGGCTGACTGGCTAACTTTCACGATTTTACTGTTAAACTATTACCTGTTAAATATGCTCACGCCACGGGAATACTTGAATGTCCTGACTTGGACCTTCCACGAAACGATTACATGCGATGTAATCGTTTCGGATAATCGCAAAATTGCATGTCTCAGAGAAGTTACCGTTCGTCCTAAAGCAGAATATAATCATGCTTAGCAAAGAAGCCTGAGCTGCTCAGAGAATAGGGAATAGGAAAATACTGAATGACGTTTCGGAGCATGTGAAAATACTGTGCTTAACAGAGGCCATTAGTGAAATGGAAAAGGCAGCAACATAGGGAGGAATTTCTAGCGAACGAGAAGATAATGGAAATATTAATCGGCTTGTGGAGTATGGCCTCTTACATACTGAAGTTTTGGGGGAGACTGAAAATTGCTAGGCAATCAATGCAAATTTGGCTCGAACTTTCTTTCTGTACCTTCATTTAAGCGAAATTTCATGTTCTGAACGAAATGATGCCTGAAATAGTAAAATATATGGTCTCTGAAAAATCATTGGGCTCAAAGGCACAGTTCACAATTACAAAAAGTTTTTGAGATTTCCCTATAGTATGAATTCGAGGCTCCTCCTTATACCATACCTATCGTTATGAAGGCGAAATGTCCTGGATAGGGCACAATAAGGAACCAGAGACTGTATCGCGTGAATGCCACACCCATGGTGGACGAGTTTCAACGACTTTGTAGAGGCTGCACCATTCACAAGGGAGTCAACGTAGGAAGTTCAAACAACACGTCATGATTTAGAGCGACAGCGAAAGACAATTCTGATCAGTTATGGTTTGATGTAGTCAGCTCTTTGCACGATGGGGGCTAGTTGAATCTCTTCCAGAAAACCTTTACGTGCCATTCCTGTCGCGGCGATCTCGTACAACCTCCCTTCCACTACTTTTAAAAAGCCTCGAAGTAGGCGGATTTTCTCGATTCCTTCGCCACAGATGTACGACCCTACATCAATTCGCTTTTCAACCTAAAAAGAGTACCCCAAAATTATTGTGAACTGTGCCTTTACTAAATTTTCCAGGACCAGCCAATAGAATTTCAGTCTTCAGATTTTTTCTAGTTGTAAAATCTGTGTAGTAGTTCACTCTACTAGTATTTATTTGATCATTTATTCTCCACGATGGAAAAATTCAGGACATTCGGTCGGGCCCATTTGGAGGAAGCCGGCTGCCGACGTGTTGGCGATCGTCAGATTTGCGTCTGTTACTCAGGGGATTACTGTAATTCTGCCAAAGCATCATTTATATCATTAATTATGTTGGGTTTACTGTTGCTGAATTTGTGACAATGTGATTGTATATTTCTTCCAAAATGCCATTTCAGTGATTCTTTACCAAGCTTTCGTTCGCATTCATGCAATTATGGATTGATTTTGGGATTTTGAAGAAATCGATAGAATTTTGCCGTTATCTTAATATCATCATATCATTGTGGTAATACATAGAGCATCTTCTAGGTAATACCAGCGCAAACTATTCATTGATCTACCTGAATTTCAACGAGATTTGTATTTATTATGAAAGCATAATAGTACGCCCTAATAGCTGAATGCCAATAGTTCTATTCGGAAATTTATGTTTTTCTTTGTTTACAATGAGATCATGTTTGTGTTCAATAGTTTGCTTTCAAAACTTCCAAATAAACAAAAACATTTGATCGTTGTTGCAGGTTCATACTTTCGAAACATACGATTTACTCTCATTCCTGGACATCTGCTCTGCGTCCGCCTCCATCCTGTAATGTACCTGTATTTTCAAGAATAGAGCGTCAAGCGCCTTTGACGCATGAGCGTCGAGCGCCAAGGGCCAAAGGGGTCAGGCGTTCTTGCATCCTTGCGGACTTACATCCTTCACCTGGAATCATCTGCGTTCGAACGTATTCTTATAGAAGGATGCGTTGTCTTGCTGGAAAAGTAATTAGCTTTTAAAATCCTCTCGAGCTATCCGTTCAAGGATTATGATGTCCTGCTTGACTCAATTTAGTATAAACGAGCTCCAGAGCCTGATTGAAGCACAGCTCAGACTAGTGCTATGAGCACCCGAAGAGTTCTTCTCATGGATGAGTAGTTGGGATAAAAATTTCCCGTTAGTGGAGATCTGCCATAGTCACGCGATAGAAACGGAGTCGGACCCTACGGCGAAACGGAAAAGCACCTGTTGCCTGTAGATAGAAGACACCGAAATTCTTGCTGGCTCAAAGCGTGGGGACCTGGCACAAAAAAGGACTCTAAACCCCAGGTAGAAGTGTTGTCCACAACGAGGAGGCTCGAATTTCACTTACCGTTGTGAATGCTACCCTTACACGATGTTCGTTAGCCTACTAAATTGAGAGAACTGTCAGTTTTCTGAGCAAGAATGATATAATTCAGGAATGATCGAAAAATTCGGGAGCATGGACCCTAGATGATGAGGGCGTGGGAAGAAACGCCTTTGCCATCGGCAAGGACGGTCACAAGAACCCATGTCTGAGGATATCTCAGCTTGCAATTCCTCTTTCAGCAGATGTTCAAGTACTACTAAAGCAAATTCGCAAGGGCAGCCGATGTCAATTTGGATGAAAGCATGTCTTTGAATGCTGGCGAGGCAGTGAAGAGCAACTGGAGACCCTTCTTAGGCCTTTCTGGTTCCTTACAGCTACGGACAACCTTTTAAAAATCCAAAGGGATGGAGTTAAGAGCTGCAACTTTTATGATCCCGGATGCTATGTGAAACACATGGTTGCAAAGAACTGATAAAGACATCGTTGAATAAAGCGATTCTGATAATGGCGTTACGGTACTATCTAGTAGATCGAAGATTGGGCTAGTACTGTGAATTTGAATTCACACTGAGTTCCATCCGGGACTGAGATTCCAAATAGAAGCGATGCCTATGAAACAAACGATTCGCAAAATTTTACAAGGCGTAATCGTCATTTTGAATCCGTTCGTTCGATGTATGTAGTTGACTTCTACCATAGAAGTTCTATAACTTATGAAAGGATCGGGTAAAGCAGGCGATGGGAATATTCGATGGTGATCTAATTGCAAGTCGAAACCAGCCCCGAATGATAGGGAGATATGGCTTGTTTAAAGGTACAATTCACAATAACCTTGTGTTATTCAGATAATGGCGAAAAATGAAAGAGAAGGTGGAGATTGGTGCGATAGAGAGGCACAAAAGGCACGTGGGATGGTGTTCCAAGGTGATAAAAGGCTCCTAAATTGTTATTCAAAATGGGCTAGACGAGAATGAGACCAAAAAAAAATGAAGTAGGGGTGGGAAAGGGTATTTGGACGAGCTATACAATGAGTGTCTTTGCGTACGTGTGGGTCCTGGTGCGAATAGCTGATAACAGTAAGCAAGTCTGTCCTTTGAATTAAAATTCATCCACTCCCAAGCATAAATTAACAAAAACACTATAAACAGCAAAAATAACACTCTTTTTTCATTCTCTCAAATTGGAAAAGAAGATAAAGGGCCGCAGCAGGAAAAAGAATAGAAGAGAATAACGGGAAAAAGTAATTAAAGTAAAACATCACCTCATCACCCGGCGATCAGCTGAATGTGTGTGGGTCCCGGTGCGAATAGCGCAACCTGTATCGCCTCGACGCTCGTCTGGCGTAACATCAGTCCATGGGCGTGGCATCCGACCGATCCGTTAATGGGACTCCTATTATGCCCTAGCCTCGGGTTTTGGCACCGACAACGTCCAGCGTCCTTCCTGTACCCTTGTGGGCCCCTGAGTAACCCTGAAAGGAAATCTAAAAAAGACCTTTATATCTTGAACTGTGCCTTCATAGTACATGCTACCTGTTGAGGCTATCCGCAATTTTGAATGTTACATAAATGAACGGCAAAATCAGACCAAGGCTGGAAAAATGGAGCTATTCCCACCCTTCCCAGCTTATTCAACACAATAAAATATTTGCTCCAACGTGTCCCTCTCTGGAGCTCAGAAGCAGTCCAAGTGCATAGCTGATACATTTTGATGGAGAATAGCGAAGAGGGTTTGCTACTGATTCCGCAGAACACCTCAATCACCTTAATGGCAATCACAGACTTTTCGGCAAAAAATTCAAATGTAGGCGAGAACTTTGTACTATGAAATCATCTAAACAAAAATGAAAGGTACTCCACTGATCAGAGTTCGCCAATACTTTTATCGGTCCATGGTCCAATGAAAATGACTAAGCTTCCGGTTTTTTTTCTAATTTCAACGCTCTTCAGTGGTAGTATTACCAGATAACAAACAGTTATCTGCTACCTTGAGAACGGATCAAGTGACTCAACCCGGAATTACACAGGGATAATTTCTGATCACTTGTCAGTCTCTGCGGTATATATAGATCTCCGTACACTCCATTCGGCAGCATTCCTCCTTGCCTACCTTGCTCAGGCAGCTATGTACGCTACTGCTAGTACACGTGATGGACCCCGTTCTTCCTATCAACTACGGTATTCACTGTACCGTAAAGAGACCATATCTTTCTATCCTTCCAGAAACCTAACAACATTCATAAGGTAGTCACTCAGCACTTCAGGGTAGAATCTTCTACGACCACGATCGGGGTTTGTTACTCCCCGAAAAGGGTCCTCATGTTCCCTGCATTAACATGGGAGATTCCATGTGGTCTGTTTCAATATATCAGATAGCTCTCCCATACTTTCTGATGATCACTGGG